GATGATGCGGAGGAGAGTAAGTGATGCTGGGATAGCAACGGGTTCACTTGGCTGCAACAAACATTTCTTACCGTGACAATATTAACTCATCCCTGACCCGTGCTTGCATTCACATGTGGTTTGGTCAGACGCCCCTTTCACATCAGGAGCAATGCAGGCTTATGCACAGCAGGTCCTTTTTGAGTGGACTTCCGAGTTGTATTCCCACGAAAGGGATGGCACGTGCTATGTACAGAAAGTGCCTAATGCGGTTTTCATTTGTGTTTCTTAATTGTGTTTGGATTTGTTTCTCAGTTATGCACCTTTTCATCCTAAATGTGACTGTTGGACTACCATTTTGTCCACTAGGCTGTAAATTTTCAACTGTATTTCTGTGCGACAGTGAATCCTATCCGAGGTGAGAGCTTCACCCCAGGATTAAAATGGTCACCTTCTCAGTTCCTGGGTGGAGGCCTGTGTACATAGTGGAGGCTTGTCAGGAGTCAGCAGGCTAGGCTTGCCTTACTGGGGCCAATGGGCCTCTTCATTCAGGAGGGGGGAAGTAATTGCAGATTGAGCACTATAATGCAGGTGTCAAGGGTTCGAGCCAGGTGACTAGCCGACACGAGTCGCTGTGGCCAGGATTCCTTAAGCAGCAGGGCGCAAGTAGCAGAGTGTTGGCAAGGGTAATGGTGGATGTAGTCATCCAGATTCCTCTGGGCTTGTGGCTTCCTTGGCGCTGAAGCTCAAAGGTGGGCAGTTTGGAGGAGTTAATCTGCACTTCCTGTGTACATTCTCTCCTGGGTGCAGCAGCGTGGTTTTTAGACTTGACTTGAGCCTGAGAATGTGTGGATTTATAATAGAATAATTGTGGGGAAAAAATCCTTCAAAAAAGAATCCTGGAAGTACCTGATTAAGTTTATTCTAGAGTGGGTGATTAATGTAATAAGTACACCTTGAAATAACTTAACCCCTACAGACAATAGTCGGGCTTTTATGGAAACTCATATCTATAGTGTTACTATTCTCAGGTATTGGATTTCAGCCGTGATTTAAGATTTAAAACTTGCACTAGACAAAGCTAATTAAAAATACAAATCAGCCTCCTCACTTCTGTTGTAAACTGTAAGTTCATTTGTATAAACAATGGATACTGAAGAAGATCTCCAATATCCTTGTTACTAAATTCATGGCTGCATCAAATGTAATTTAAACAAAAACACGATTTTGTTGTTTAAGCTTCATTAACATTGTCTTAAAACGGAACCCAAGTTTTCCTCTGAAGCTTAGAAGGTCTAGCATGTGTCAATCACACTTTATGATAGACCTTCTCTTTATTATGATGGCTGTACGTTGCTTTGGTTGTATTAATGAACGTACAGTTCAAGACATGGAGAATAAATGAGTTGAATAAAGATAGATTCCCTCAAAGTTTCACTCTTCTCTCTTCACTCACTTTCACACTCAGGTTAAGCTTAAACTTGAAGAATATTGCAGTCCAGCTAGCCAAAACATTTTAAAATGTAACAGCAAAGTGTTTGAAAAGGACCATTAATGCAGACGAAACTTATCTGCCGACGAGGACAGGATGCAGCAGTATTTAAGAAGAGCTGCAAGTGTTTGGATGTTTTTAGAAAAACACTTGTTTCTCCTTCGTGGAAGAAAAAACTCTGCTCCGAGAGAGCTAGCTAGATCTTCTCCAGTCATATGTTCAGCATGCTGCCAGGAGTGTGTAGTGGAAATCTAATGAGTTAATTGATTCTTAAAAAT